TAGGTGTGAATGGAGCCTTAGGGTAGAAACAGGTGACCATCCTCTACAGTACATAATCTACATGCGAAAGAGTCATCAAAATATGGAACAGGAAGTAAAATGTGTGACTTCAGAATACTATTTTCGGGTACCTGTGACCACAATAAGAAGTGCAAATGAGTTGCATATTACCTAGTCGGCAAAAACCAGAAAAGGAAAATAATCAAAGATGTATTGCTTACTGGAAGCGTTCATAAATGTCATTGTACTGATGAGACTTTAGCACAAAGCCAATGCGTTTCGAGGATTGGAGAGTATCCCCTTCATCGGGGCCTAACCAGATTGTTAGTTTATTTGAACACCAAGTCTGCGAGTAGCTGCTGATGAACTAACAACCTGGTCAAACCCTGATGAAGGGGGTTCTTTCTGACCCCTGAAAGATGTTGGCTGTGATAAGTTTTGCAGCTTGGAATAAATCTGTATCTGGGCAATTAATTTTTGGTGTAGTGCTTCAGTCTCCGATTTGTCTGTTACAAATCAAGCAGACAGTGGAAATCCTTTGGTGTGGAGACCTTACCAACCCCAAGCATCCAGATATGTCAATTACTTCTATACCCTCCATAACAATAGGATCACTGTAAAACCCAATGGCTACCCCATCAAATATATATATTTTTTGTGTTCTGTACTCTGTTCACCTGACCTATCGATAGTAATTCTCCATGCTGAATTATTCCTAAAGGTGTGTGTGTGTGTGTGTGTGTGTGTGTGTATCTCACTCTGCCTCCATGGAGAATTGCAGCTTGCAGAGCCAGTCTTTCCCCTGATAGATGAGATAGTGTAGCTTAGGACCAATTCTTCCCAGGCTGGAATACAAAGGCCTCTCTGAGCTGGATGGTAAATGTCTATGTACTGTGCATTTGTAACATGAGCACTATAATTGAGTCCTGGCTGGACAATAGTTCTGTGTACCAGTATGAGCGAGGACAAGGCAGCCAATTGTCAAGGCTAGTGGTGGTCAACTTGAAAGTAATAGCGCTCCTCAAGTGTGACCCCCCAACACTTCCAGAGGGCCCCACAATAGCAGAGAATGTTAAAAGTACACACAATACTTGTGTAGCACTCACCTCTGAAGGAACTACTGGAATAACCAGGTCAGCCATAGCCTATTTAGGGGATTTCGGCAACCAGCTGCCCCACTAGCATTAACTGCCCTCTTCTAGTGACCAACATAGTTGAAACCCAGGCTAGAAGTATGATACTGAGGAACTTTTATTAACATATTCACACTGGGAGATCGGGTATAGGACATCCATGAGAAAAAAAGACTCGCCTATATGAGCAATCGATGAGCAGGGATTGGCACAGAATCTTCAGAAGGAGGGAGTCCAGATTTGCTTCTGAGGTCCAGTCCATTTCGGGCACCTCCAGCAGCCATCATTTTCCCTGGTTCTCCTCAGTCAGTAGCCGAGACTTCCTCCTAGGCTTGAGGCCTAGTAAAGCATTTTCTGCACTCAGGTATTCCCACCCACAGGCCTAGCCTGTGGGCAGGCTGGACAGCACCCAAACCAGGACTAACCCATGGCTGGAATCCGACTGAGCACATGGCAATTCCACTAAATGTATATATGTCCCTGTCCTAGCATGCAACACTGGCCATGAGAGCCCCAGTGATTGGCTGATAGTCTACACACACTCAGTGCACCCCATTGGTTGTTGCACTCCACCCAGGCAGGTACAATCAATGCCAGAAAACCAGGAATTAAACAGATAATTGCCAACTATAATTCAACCAGTTTGACTACAGCTCTAAATTTCTAGTAGCCACTCCACTAAAGGTGGTAGGGACTACACTTGTTAAAGTACATTGGATCAAGTTTAGGCAGTCCAGGAGTGGCTTTCTGCTGCCACTCTGATTCATTATAGGTGCACAAGAATGCTTACTACTCTCTGGTAGTTAGAAACTAAGGTGGGGGAGATCTAGATAAAATAATCTCCAAAAGCAGAAGGCGCTTGGCCTGCTATACATCACCTGCACCGTATATGAAGCCTTCAGGTCAGGTTCAGTGATCCTGTAATAATTAGATGTCCATAATCAAATTGTATTAACGGAGCTGAGTGGATGTCATGGTAAGATTTAATACATAGTTACATAGTATTTGATTTGAGGTTGAATAAAGACATTAGTCCATCAAGTCCAACCTATTAGGATCTCATTCTAGGAGTACCTGTACCCCTGTATATTACGGTCCCTTAAGAAATCGTCCAAAAGTTTCTTGAACAATTCCACATTATTTGCTGAAATCACCGCCTGTGGCAGTGAGTTCCAGACCCTAACTGATCTTACGGTGAAGAACCCCCTTCGCCCCTTGTGCTGGAATTTTTTTCCCAACAATTTTAGGTGGTGGCCTCTAGTTTTTGTAATGGAGTTAATTTTAAACAGTTTATCACTAATGTTGCTACCACCATTGAACATTTTGTACATGGAGATCATATCCTCCTTTTTAAAAGGTATGTTCCAACAATACATTACAGCCTGGTATGGTAAACCTGGGGGCAGTTTTCATTCAGGTATGTTGTGGCTCCAAAATTTTGAAAGCTCATCTTTTTCCCTTATGTAGAGCTCAGTGTAGGTTGCAGTTCCAGACTGTAACCTCTTACTAGCCTACAAGCTAACAAGTTAAAGGAGAACTATGGGGTCAGTGTTTTTCCCCATAGTTCTCCTTAGGGTAACGGGAGGACACAAACTAGCGTCCTCCCGTTACCCTAAGCTCAGTATACCGCGAGCTACAGCTCGCGATATACTGAGATGCCGCAGCCGATCCCGACCTGGACGTCGGGATCCGCCCAGCTAGAGGCAGAGCCAGCTGTACCCGCCCCCTCCCCCGTCCATTCTGCCAGTTAGCGCTGGCAGATTGGAGCGGGGAGAGGGGAATCCAGCCCCTCCCCCTGTCACGGCAGAGAGCCGTGACAGGATCGAGAGGTGAGCAAACCCGGTATGTGTTCGCTCCCCTCCCGATCTACTGAGCCGACCTGTGACAGTCTCATTGTCACAGATCGGCTAGAACTATGAGGTGAATGGAAATCACTCATCTCATAGTTCTCCTTTAATAAAATGAGCTTGTGAACCAAACCACTTGTGTCTATGTACCGCATTGTAGACTGCATTTAACACCACTAATACTAGCAGGACAGCTGAGAGAATCTCTTCTGGATGGACAAGTGGCTGATATCACCAGAGCAGTGAAAAGGCATTTATATCTCTAATGTTGCAACCATACATAGGACTAGAATGGATACTGATACTGGCTCTCTGCACCCAGGTCTGTCCCTATAATGAGGCTCTTGCCTCAGGTGGCATCTCATGAGCGAGGGGGGCCACAGGGGACAGCCACAGCGTCCCAGGTTGGCAAGAGCTCTTGACAACTTGTGATGCTTTGTCTGGTGTCCCGTCCAGCTCACTGATGTTGTCTAGAACTGAGAGGGACACTGGCTGGCATCCAGCCGAGCTTCTGGCAACCAGTGAAGTCAATGAGCTGGGCGTGGCACCAGACGGGGCCACTAACAGCGGACGTCTGCAACAGCCCAACACCCCCCCACAACAAATGAACCAGTGAGTGACCATTCTGTCAGCAACGCCACCCTCCGCCTTCGCCCAACGAAATTGCCTCAGGCGGTAATTACCATGGGGACAGCCCTGTCTGCACCCATCATCCTTCAGTAAATGTCCTAGTGTAGTACTAAAATTATTTTGAATTGCTGTTTGGTTTTAGGAACAGAAGGTGTATTGGTCACAGATGTTACTGGGCCCCTTGGGACAACGAGGCCCATGGTTTTGTAACTGCACATCCATCAACTTTCCAAGCCATAGTCAAATGAGAGCAGCTGCAAAAAAATCCTTATGCCTCTGTTTTTTCTGCAGTGGCTATTCCTTTTTTACAAGCCCTCACCGTATAATGAGCAACCTGGGATATTACTGGGAGGAACCAAGCAATATGCTGCACTAAATTATTATTATTTTACATGTGACTCAGATGGGTTGTGTAAAGGCTTCACAATGATGTCACTCTGCCCTACATACCAGTCATGTGACTCTCTGACGAAGACTGCTTACAATACAACCCTATATAAATATAAAATGCAGTGACTAAAAGTTATCATTGATAGATAATAAAACATTGGTATGCTACTTTAGGCAGCTGGTACAGTCCAATTAGGAACAGAAAAAAAATGTCCATGGTAAGGGCCCTAAAGCAGGCATCAGGACCTGCATAATTAATGGTTAAATATGGCTGCACCCATGCACTTGTAAAATTAAAAAATTATATATAAATGACTACAACCAATGTATGATTAACGCTTTGTATTGTTATATTTACTATGTATTTGTACTCCAGATGATCTCACACACTCGTTGATGCTTCTATATATATATATATATATCTCCTTTTTAAAAGTTTTAATCCACTATCCTAAATCATATTTTATGAGCTCTCTCAATGCCTTTTCAATGGCTTGCTCAGTCAGATTTTTATTGATGCCTTTGTCCCCATTGTAAGGACTTCCCTTTACATCCTGCTGTCCTCTACCAAAGAAAATCTGTATTGAGGCCTTCTGACCACACTCTGTCTTTGGCTTTGCTGTTTACTGAGTCACTGACCACCAGCAAGCATGGCATCTGTGAAGTCCAAGCATGTGCTGCATGCTTGTTATGGCACAATAATAAACCCAAGGAATCAAAATGGTAACCAAGCCGATAACATTTTCAAAAGAAGACTACAGCAGTGACATATCTCTCAGGCAAGATTTTCCTTTCAACCTGACAGGTTGTAACTGTTCCCCAGTCTACATAGAAACAAAAATCTTTTAGCTCTGGTTCAACTTTAACTTTTTGTTTTTTGTTCTATCTTGTACCCTAAAGGAATAGGCTTTCACTCTCAAACCTACAGAGATCTACTCAATATATATTTTCTACATGTGATTTAATTGCTTTCTCTTTCTTTCTGTCTAGGTGTTAACTGGAAACCCTTGACTGCATATATAAAAGAAACTCCAAGAGTTCTTCCACCTCCAAAATGGACAAGGCAGTCAGTGTCACAAATCCCTATGCTGGGGTCAACCTACCTCGGGCGCAACTCAAGAGCAGCTTTGTCCGGAACACCATTGGGGAGGACCTAGATGGGGTAGTTATTGCCAATCCCTCAGTGGTGCCAAGCTACCCTACCTACTCCACAACGGACAGGGTCAACAACGATTCCGTATCCACTGCTTCTTGGGAGGGCAACAAAATCCACACACAGGAATCGTGGAGGCGGCCATATAATCCATACGCCCCTGACAAGCCTCAAAATGGAGGTCACCCCAGTTCCATGTACACCATCGATCTGGACAAACAACACTATAGGGAGCCTGCAAAATCTGAAGATAATCCTTGTTGCTGCTACCCCTGTTGCAAATGTTGTCCGTGTTGTCAAAAGTCTTGTGTTATCTCTTAAAAGCCTTCTCCTAAACTTGGTCTAGCCAAGGGATGACATTCCCTCTGAGCCACAAAACAAAAAAACTTCCCAAACTGATCGAGGAGCAGAACACTTTTTTGCATGTTTTGCAAACTATAAACCTAAGATCTCTAAAATGCCCAAGGATTCTTGTTAAGGTGATCCCATTTCGTGCAATCACAAAGGACTGGTCTTCCTTCTCTGGGTAGGTTCAGTTGCCAAATAGCCGAAGACTTTAAATAAGAGAACCAGTCTTTTGAATTGTTGGATCAAGTCTGGTGTTTGTTCGTAGTATTGTTAATGCCAATGCACCTGTTTTAGCTGGTACAATATTTTTGTTTTTTAATCTGCACTATGATCACCAAATACTATTTACACTTTAATGTGTGCAGTAATCTGTATAGGGCACCTAGGTTGCTAAATTACCGATGCCTCTTGGCAATATGATTGATTTAAGTATGCTATATAATGACAGTATTTAATGTCTTACACTAAACACTCCGGTAGCAGATCAGACATTATTTCATGTCTGGCTCAGATCTGCAAGATGAAGGAACTATATTTTTAATTGGGGTCAAAACCAAGAAATAGTATGACTGCGTAAGAAGTTTGGTAAATTTCCTGCAGTTGACTGAATTCCATAAGAAAAATCCAGCTCTGGGTTACGTGCTCTAAAGAAGTCAATGTTTTAACAGTAGAGCTGTCAGGTTTGTTGTTGGGTATAACTTGTTGGAAGATTGAACATTGGAACCTTTTTATATTGTCCATGTTCCCAGGTAAAGTCTTTTAGTCCTTGAATTTAGACCCAAAAGAGGACTTGCCTCTACTCCTCTCAACTCTCTGGGGATGGGAAGAAGAGTAACCAACCAATTTTTGGGTGTAAAAATTAAAATGGTGGAACCTTTTTATTTTAAGCCAGCCTGTAAAATAAGGCGCAGGTGTCCTGTGCAAGATGACCTATATTTTCCCTTCAGACGAGTAGGGACTCCAGTCTGCGCTCATGTGCGCTTGTTCATTAGCTACCACCGCCACTGGAATCCCAACACTTGCGTGTGTTGGATGCCTGGTTCCATTCGCTGGCCCCTACACCACAATCGCAATGTTTGGTCTCTGCTGAGCATTAAGGTTTTATCTACTGGTGTCTGTCACTACTGAGTCCTGTTGTGACATGGCAAAGCAGGTAAAACCACAACAGTCAGTGTGGGAGAAGGCATCAAACGCATCCAAATGTCAGATGTCAGCAGCGGCTGTTGCTTTTTGAACAGAGTGAAAATTGGAGGTGTTGGACAATTAAGTATAACTAATCTTTTACAGGATGCTTGTGCCTTCATTTTTTGCTTTTTGAGTCCTCAAAGTTGAATTGAAACACAAAAGAGAATTTTTTAATGGAGCTTACCATCTTGGTGTTTACTGTGTAGGGGGAGCGCTCAAATAAATGTAGAAAAATACCTTGATGAAGCATTATTCCATTGATTTATGCCTTGGCAATAATTGTTGTAGGATATATGTCACCTTTTTTTTGTCCATTTTTTTTGTTTCCTTTTTTGTGTGTTTAAAAAGTAAGCTTGGGTATTTGAAAGAATGTTTGTCCATTTTTAAATCTGATTTACTCTTAACATTGATTTTCCTCTTTATTAATGCATGTCCATGTTAATTCGTGTCTTTTCACAAGTATGCCTGATATTCTGTCCTTGTACCAGATTGCCAATAAGCCTGAATTTTGCTAGATAATGGTATGGGGTTGCTATGAAGGTGCTCGTTGATCAGATAGATCTTCACATGGGCTATTTTGTCCTATGGTTTGATCAGCAAGAGTTCAACAACATTGGGATCCTAAGGCTAGGCCTGGTCACACTCCAGGACTGAGATGGCTCTTATTTTTAAAGAATTACAACGGGCTTTTTTTTAGCTTTTTCTATTGTCAGCATGGAAACCCTACTCCCTTGCTGCTCAACAATTCCTGCTGGCTCCTAGATGAGAAAGAAGGACTCCTGGATTTTGCATTTAGGTGTCCAAGCCAGTCTAAAGTCAGTAGGGTGTGTCAGGCTTAAAAACTTTGAAGATCAGGGACTACAGAACCTGTTTGATAATTAAGGCACACAGAAATGGCTTTCTCTGCCTGTGGCCTCAGACAGCTGCCTCATTTGTCATACCCTTGGCCCGTTCTGGTTCTTCTACAGGAATATTGGCAAGTGAACAAGTAGCTGAGGGCGCAGAAGTGTTAACCTCTAAAACCTGTGATGGTGCCAGGCCAGCTCAGAAATGTGCAATGCCATTTATATTTTATGTAAATATATATATTGTAATGATATATCAAGTGTAATTAAATGACAAATGTTTAAATAAGAAATGGTTGTGTCTCTAATGACTTGTCATACATGTTTCTTATTCCAAACTACTTGGGCGACCTAGAGATCACATGCAGTCCCTCTAGACCAAAAATAAACAAGCAATCCATCATAATTTGTGAGCACTTTTTGAACAGCTGTTTGGCATGACCGTTAAAGTGAATACCAAAAGATTAAAAAATAAAATGCTAGCTCTTGCCCCTTTAGTTTGCTAAAGCATGGTGTATCAAAATCATAGATTAGTTGTAAATTGCAGTTTACACCATTTTAGGAAGGAAAGTCATGAGGTGGCCTTCCTCTTGCAAGTCCTAATTGGGTCATGAAGGCCTCTCACAATGCTGAAAGACCAATAGTTGCCAGAGGTACCCAATCGAACTGTGGTTTCATGGCTAGGAGCATATCATCATTGCTACTGAAATTGCTTTATTCAGCAAGGCTGACCATGTACCAAATGAAACCACAGAAAGTTATCTGATAATGATCTATCACTAATGGCTGTTGTGTGACCCACATATTTACATTGTCTAGTTTCTAGCAGTGTGTAATTACAAACTCCTGAACAATGTAATGCTTCAGTTACACCTCCTAAGCAGCTGATACTTTACATTAGAGTTCCTTTGGAAATAAATGGCCTGACACTCGGCAGCATGCAGAGATACCAGAATGCATTATTTGTTATTAACACGTCTCACCCATATACTCTAGCAAATGTGTTAAAGGTCAGCCACACCCAAAAATTTTTTTGAGTGGGCATTGATGAATCGGAGTGCCTGCCCACTTCCTGTATCTCAACTCCAATAGGCCCCAGGAGATTTTCCTATTGTCGCTTATCTGCCAATTTTCACAAGGCCATAATAAGGGTATCACTCTCTTGCAGCTTATTTTGGCTGCGACCCTATTGGTGACCTTTTCTTTCATATCCTGACCCTGTGACCACAGAAGTGGGGGTGGGGAGGCGGGGTGTATTGGTTGTCACTGCAACAGGAAGGCACAGACAGCAGAAATCCTGACCCTTCCATACTCTACGAAAAAATTTCTGGGTTCCCATTGGAGAGATGCGCCCCTCACTCTCTGGCCTGGCAAGCATCTCCCCAATAGGACATAGAACACAACAAAACCCTGACAGTCTCTACCCAGCCTTTCAATCTTTTCCCTTCAAAGGAACTCTTAATCTTTGTCAGGGCTCAGTGAGCCCCTGCTAAAACTAATTTGAGGGTCAGTGGGAGGAATGCGGCTTATACTGGTGGTCAGCGCGAAGAATGCTCCTTACATTGGTGGTCTTGTATAGACAGCCAAAAAGATCCATGGTGGTATGCCAGTAGCTCAGCCAAATAAAATTGGACTCTGCATTACGCAGCACCATCAGATGGCAGGTCAGTCAGCCACAGCTCAAAGAACTTCTAGCAAACTCCTGTTGAGAATGTCTACTCCAACCCTTCCCTGCTGTATACAAAACCAATTGAGCTTTTGTATGAAGCACCATTGCCAAGCAATAGACCATGTTATCACTGTAGGTTGTTCTATGGTAAGGCATGCATAAAAAGTTACCTTCTTACAAATGAAGCTTTTGTTCTGTAGATATTAGAAGCAATTCTAAGTGCGTGGGAGTATCTACAATAATCGCATGACCAAGATCAGTGTCGTAATAAGGAACATTGAATCCCTTTTGTACAGTGACTTGTTTTTTTACTACGGTCTCCCTAAGGCCTCATTCACACTGCCGTACTATATGCTGCGTATAGATGCACGCAGTGTATTTTCCCATATGCACATAAATGGCTCCATACACATAGCTGCGTATGGAGCTGTAAAGATGTGCAAAAAAAAAAAAATGAAACGGATGGGTTTGGCATTTCTGCGTATTTTACACACAGTACATTAAAACTTCTATTAAAAATGATGCATTCTGGGATTGCATACAGTGCGCGTATATACGCAATATACAATTTTGCTCTTGCGTTGTGTGTGTGCATGAGGCCTAAAAGAGAAAATTCTAGTGCAAAACACTACTATGTATGATAGCTGCTCAGAACTTGGGTTCAAATTACATCAGAGAGCCAATTAAAAGGGCAAGGGGTAGGAATTATGGGAAGTCCTGTGTATAAGTGCTACTGTTGCAATAGAGATCTTTCTGTTCATTTTTCCTTTTTCTATCTCTCGCTTTCTCCTTATCTCCCTCACTCTCTTGTTTTTTCATTGTTTTTTCATTGTTACAGAATTGTCTAGCAACTTTACACATTACTTTGTTTTTTTTTTTCCTAATTGGTTTTCCCCTGAGGTTTAATCCAATATGACTATTTCACTTAAAAGTTTGACTTTAATGTCACTTTTTTTTCCCTCCCCCCCCAATGTTTATTAAAGCACTTACCTTAAATGATGTCTCTTAATCCGATCTTCCGCCTTCTTCTTTTCTGTCCTTTTCAGCCTTCTCTCCAACGGTGCGGCGGGTGTCCGATCCAGTGCTAACTCCTCTGTCCTTGCAGGCACTTCCTGTCCCACGGTGTCTGCATGCGGGTGCACGCGTCCATTGACTTACCTTGTGTCTCTCCTGGCCGAAAACCCAAACTGCACATGCGCCCGTCCCAAGATGCTTTGCGGCCCCCCAATCATTTTTGGACGGAAGCGCCCGTGAAGACGGGTACATTTAAACTGCTTTTAAAGCGTTTAAAAAAAACGTTTTGCATATCTACTGCTTGCTAGCATTAGATATATGCAAAAAAACGTGAGGGTTAAATGAGAACTATGGGGTCAGTGTTTTTCCCCATAGGTCTCCTTAGGG